TGAGCAGAACGCTTTTCACGAATTAAAAGGATTTCTAGAATTTGGCATTTTCTAAACAATGAATAACTCTTAAATATTTCCATATTAAACACAGAACTAGAAATCATCTGGCAACTAGCACAAACATCACTTTGTTATAAATGAAGAGGCAAGTGCAAAGAGAGATACCATTTTATAGCCCACTCCCCTCCTGTGACACACTCCAAGGACTAACAGGATTAAAATGAGAGCACAAAGAAAAGGAATACTGAGGGGGAAGAAGAGATACCAAAAAGGGATAATACACTGCAGATTTAAGGCTCAATCCTGCCAGGCGCTGAGGCCCTTCAGTCAGCATTGATTCCAACACCTCCTAAAGATAGAGCCTATATAGCATATGCTGGACACCCAGACTGACAAAGGAATGAGGAGTCTACTGCTCAAGATTCACTTTGCAAAACACCAAACAATGGGCTTTGTAGCAGATCGCAGACTCACAGCGCCTCCTGCTAGTCATCCGGGAATTAGCTTGATTCCAGCACTCAGAGCACCTCCTGCTGGCTGGTGTCATTCCTGCCTCAGGCCCTGTGTCCCTCCTGGATGCTGGTGCTCCTTTCCCTTGGGGTTCTGCCCACAGCAGTACCCCCCCACTCTGGGTCTCTGCTCTCAGGGGAACCCGCAACCCTCTAAGCCCACCTTCCCTCAGTGGCTACTGCCAGTCATCATCTAGTCCCCTTTCTCTGGGCAAACTGCAGTCTGTAATGGCCACTCATCACTGGCGAGGGGGTTGGACCAGCTGCCTCTGCCTATCCCCAAGGCTGGAGTGAGACTAACCCAGCTCCTCCCTTAGCCCTTACATCAGGGCCAGCTGTGGCCTGGCTGGGTTTGGCCACAACTGTGGCCACTTCCCCAATCAGCCTACCTTTTCCCCCAGGAGCAGAGTGAGTGCCCTGCTACAGGCTCATATGACAGATGACAACAAACAAGTTCAGAAGAAGCTTTCAGCATTTTGATGGTAAATAACTTATTTCCAAAGGTAGGACTCTACTTTGGCTCAAGGATCTGGACCTGCGTTCAAGAGGATGCACCACCTGCAGGGTAGCAGCTAGAGGCATTATCCCTGCACAAGGCAGGAGCAGGCATGATGCCTTTAGAAGAATGAGGGGAAAGTACAATCACTTGCAGAAGTTACTTCACCTGTAGGAAAGGTATAGCTTGTGCTATCCCAGTGATGCCTCCTGGCGCTAGCTAGTGTGAAGATGGGGCCATGACTAGCCCCATTTGCAGTGGTGATCACTCGTGTTAGCACTGGGCAACCCCAGTGCCAAAGGGAGCACAATCAGCTAAATTACGACTGCTCCCTGCATGGGTGCATGGAGGGAGGGGGGAGAAGGGGGTCATCCATCCTACCCTTTCAGCAGCCTCAGAGAATAGGCATAAACCTGCCCTTTATTAAGCATACCAAACAGAATTGACCTGATCAGACCTATTACATTATATCCACTGCATCCTCAGAATTAGTCATGGCATCAAAATACTGACTAATCCGATTTAAAGATGCTACAATCAGTTGCATTACCAGTGCACCAGGGCTGTGATTCTGTGTATGTAAATAATCTAAATATCCACTTACTCGATGTGGTAGAATAGAGTATGACACTTTATCATGTCAGCTATCACATGATTCAAGGGCACCGTCTACCTTTTATTCCTGCCATTAAAAAACAAGCAAGGAATGTTAAAGGCAAAAGCTATTTCTGTTACTAAAAAAAAGTGTCAAGAAAATCCATAATTAAAAGGGACTAGTGATCTTAAAGAAGCCTTATTTTTAGAGGGCAGGTGCTCAGCACTTTCTGAAAAATCAAACCCCTTTAGGGCACCTCCAGATGAGCCCCCTTAAATATCGAGCCACCCCAAACCACTAGTCATTTTGGCAAATCTTGGCCAAATACCGTAGTTCCTTTGTCCTTCAAACTTCCTACTAGATATTTCACAATATAAAGGTCCCTAGTGTCACATGCAGAGCTTTGACAACAGCCGATAACCACAGGAGCCCTGATTCAATCCAATATCAGTCTCAACTCCAAAACAAATCAGAAGGCTCTTACTAACCCCCTCCTCACCACCAAAAAAAACTGCTTAATTCTCAGACATTTCCTACAGGGATGTGACAGATACACATTAATTTCTGACTTTTGCAAATACTAGCCATAAACAGACATTTCAGATATCGTTTTTTCTATTTAAACTTTTTAGGTTAAAATTTTGTTCACAAGGGTGAGCTAATTTGCAAGTGGCATGTTCATATCAGAATCTTAGGGCCCATTCTGCTCTCACATTAATACAGCTCCATTGACTTCGAAAGGTGTCACTGCTGCTTTATACGAATGTGAAATCAGAGTGAGGCTCGTATATACACTAGGGATCTTCATTGCGGTGTATCGTTTACACTAGTGCAAAGTGAGGGTGAAAACACTGTCAGCTAAGAGTGGCACTGTTTGACACTACTTTTGCTCCTGGGGGAATTCTGTGCCACTTTGCATGTGCGGAGTTCATGTCCCGGGCAGATTATTTTTCTCCGCAGAAAATACATGCTGCTGGAGAGGCGCTGCAGATACACCTTTCACCCCCAGAGAGTGTTGTGGCACCAGAACAGAGTGCAGCTGGCTCACAGGCCAGAGCAGCCAAATGTGGAGAGGGAGGAGGAGAGCCTGCTTTCCTCACAGTGCCCTGCCCCTGGGGCCAGGTGAAGAGGCCCAGGTTTTTTTTGGGTGGGGGGGACAGACAGGGCTGGGCATATGGGAATGCTGGGGGGGTGACACAGACTGGGGTTCAGAATGGCTATGGGGGGGACAGACTGGGGTGGGGGCTGAATGGGAGTGGGAGTGCAGGACCACATGGGGATGGGGGGGCGGCTGAGTGGGGGTGCAAGGACACCAGGAGACTAGGGGTCAGCCAGGGTCTCCATGGGGCAGGCTCCCCAATTCCCTAACAATCCCTCCCCTTCCAAAAAAACTGTTGCATACTTCTTCCACCCACACCCAACAACTGTTCAAGTTCACTCCCAGTCTCCTTCCCAGCAATTACTTCCCTCTCCTTCACCTCCTTCATTATCCCTGACTTCCCCAAGCCTTTGCACTGCTTGTAAGGGGTGCTGGAAATAGCATTCTGTATTGTAGTTGAAATGAATTATAACTTAAAGTTCTGTATTAATAAGCCTAGTAAAGAATCTATTTGTCAAAAACATTTCCTGAATCTTTTTTAGTTGTCTGTATTGTTACAGGTATACTTGCTGACAGGTACTTTGAAATAAATTACCGAAATAATTGAAATGGGTGTGATTACACGGTGTTATTTTGACAAATAAAATATGCAGAATTTTTAATTTTTTGGCGCAGAATTCCCACAGGAGTAAACTTTGCACATGGGTACATGGCTGCCAACATGCAGGGCAATGAAGAATCAGGCCCAGAATTTTTAGCCTTAGTTCATAAGAAGGAAAATTCTACCACGTCCATGATTTTCAAGCTGAATGCCAACTGTGCCTTTCCCCACTGCAAGCAGAAAAATGGAGGAGCTAAATTATGTATACATTTTAGATTCATATGAATTGTTTCTCATGTTGCTATGTGACAGGTATCATCTGCAGAACCCATGAGATGGGCTAATTAGTCACATTCGCTTTGCTGGAAACACCCCCTAATGGGGGTTGAGGAGACAGAGAAATTGCAAAATTTATTTTATCAGCAAAAAACCAGCAGTTCTGCTTTCAGGACTATAGAACCCTAGTTTCCTCTGGCAAGGAAAGATCTAGAAAGCAGCATCAAGGAAAATCTCTGATTTCAAAAGGAAATCAAAACTCCAGTTGGGCCTAGACAATGTGTGTATACTTCCAGCCTGTCACCTCTTTGTTACAGTTTGTTTTTCATTTACAATACATACTTCTTCAACCAGAAACAAACACCTTACAGCAGCTACATTTCATTCTGAACCACAGGGAGGACCATTTTCATGTGAAATCAGGCATCAACTGCCTTCTGAGAATCAAAAGAGAGATAAAATCAAGGAGAGAGGTTACTTCATCAGTGCTGGGGAAAATCTGTGGCTTATATATACTGGAATGTGTGATTCCCCCAGCAGCCAGCAAGCTACTTCAATCAAATGCATTTAACACGACAGTGACAAAACTTTGTCCCACCCACCTACCGCAGGATCCTGGAGGACACACCTAATCTGCATAAATGAAGCCCATTGTGGAGGTCTGTTTTCATCCCAGCCACCTCCTGCTCTTATAAATCTGGACCAATGCATGCTCCCACCTGTAGCCTCTGCAGGAGGCACCTTTGGATTAAAGGCACACTGCAGGCTTTAAACTCCACAAGTTGCCTTCAGCTCACAGTCCATGCTTCAGCCCAGTTGATTTTATCCTGGGCTCCTATGAAGCCTCCAGCCCAAAGCCTCACTGTGTTCATAACGGCTTGCAGACATAGTGCAAAAGTGGCCAGCAGGTTTATTAGCCCAGCATGTGAACACATACAGTTACAAACAAAGGGGAGGTGGAAATGGAAGGGTGATTTATTGTTGAGACTGCACTGGTGGGAGGAGCCCCCAGAAAGTTCTTGAGACTGCAGACCCAGTGATTTTTTATTGTGTTTAGCTAGTAGGAAATGGTCACGCACACCACAGGGAGATACAGTATATCTGGGGTGAGGTTAGGGGAGGATGGCAAGAGATTTCCCTGGCTTCCCCTCAACAGAGAGGACACAGAGGATGGAGGAGGGGTGTTGGGCAGGTGTACAGGGGTTGGGGGAGGGTACTGGGCAGACACAGAGAAGATGGAGGAGGGGCGTTGGGCAGGTGGATGGGGCTGGGGCAGGGCACTGGGTGGACACAAAGAGGATGGAGAAGGGGTGTTGGGCAGGTGAAGGTGGGTTGGGGGTAGCCCAGAGACACTAGCTACTGGGCAAAGGCACACAGAAGATGGGGGTGCTGGGTAGGGGGGTGATGTATCCGCCTCTCACCTGTAGGAGCTGCTCACCCCGGCTGCTGATTCCTCCCTGATCTGCCTGTTGAGGGCATCCACCGCTGCTCGCCCTTTGGCCGCCTCCTGGGACGCCGAGAGCCCGGGCTGCTGCTGCCCCCCATCCTCGACCACCTGGACCCTCTTCTTCCGCCCTTCCTCAGCCCTGGCCACCTTGGGCTGCTCCTCCTTTGCCCTTTGCTCTGCCTCCTCCTCCTTCTTCTCCTGCCCTGGCTGCAGCTTCCTCCTCTTCTCCTGGCTGGGAGGTTTCTCCTGGGGGCCCTTGTCCAGGGCTGGCCCAGGGGACGGGGCTGGCTTGGGGATCCAGGGGTGGTCCCCTCTCTTGGGGATGGGCCAAGCTCGGAAATCCTTCTGGTACTGACTCTCCTTCTCAAAGGGGGTTTCCGAGGGCTGGTACTCGCTCTTGGGTTTGCAGCTGGGCTCCGGCCGCTGCGCCTTCCAGTGCTTGTAGTCCTGGCGCATCACCGAGTCGGCCAGAGGCTGCTGCCCCGGCCCTGCCTTGTGGTCCCCCCCTGCCGCAGTCGCCTTGGCAACTGCATCCAGGTCGCTGCCAAGGATGGAGGGCTGGGTCTCGATGGCAGAGGAAGGGCGTGGCTGCTGCTGCTGCAAACCCACCTGGGCCGTGGGGTTCTCAGTGGCCTCGGAGTATTTGGTGAAGACCAAAGGGACCGCGATGTCCGCCTTGTCCAGCTGGTTCCAGAAGCGGGCGATGCAGCACGCCCGGGTGATGCAGGGCCAAGCCATGGCGACGCCTCAACCTCTTCCCCTCCCAGACAGCCTGGCCTCTCCCCGCACACCCTGCAAAGAACACAGCAAAGTAATCCACTCGCTCCGTCACTCCTCCTCCTGAAACAGCCCCCGGCCGAGGGGGGCAGGAAAAGGAAATTCGGTGCCAGTTCGAGATCGAGGGGGGATCTCTACGAATTGCAAAGGGCGGGGGGGGGGCAATTCGAGCTGCGGCGGTGCACGCAGCACTTCGAGGGTGCGCGGGGGGGGGGGCAAACCGGTGCCAAGCCCGAGAGTCACAGTCCCTAGCTGCAAGCAGAAGGCTCTGTACGAATTGCAAAGGGCGAGGACTCTGGCAAACGCAAGGCAAAGGAAATGCCTCCCCGCAAGCAATGGTCGGTCAAAGCTGCGGATTCCCCCCAAGTCCTTGGCGACCTTAGGCAAGTGCAACCTCCCCCCCCCCCCCGCACCCCACCCTGCAGGCGCGCGGCAGCCCGGTCGGGTTTCAGCCCCGGTGCATCGCGGAGAAGAGCCCGGCTGCAGGCTCCTGCCTTCCCCCCGCACCGCGTCTCTCCCCGGCTGGCGCCGCTGCGGATCTCACGGCCGCGGCTGGAGGAGCAGCCGCCCCCTAGCCATCATCTGCGCGGAGAGCGGAGCATCGCCGCCGCGGCGGCTGCAGAGAAAAAGGCCCCACCCAGCCCCGCTGTCAGCAGCGCCGCTCAGCGAAGGATGCTGAAGAAGGGGGGGGGGGGGATGCAGAGAGATCACCTGCCTCCCTTAGCGCCTGCGGAGTGGGGGGAGCCCTGTTAACTCTTCCCTCCCAGACCCCTGGGGCGGAAGGGAGGGGAGCCTAGCTGGGAAGAGTGTGTTGTGTGGCTGGACAGCAGCAGGGAGATGCTCTGGTCCCACCCATTTTCAGGACTAAAAAGCTTTGGACAGAGGCCCGCCTCCATACAGCCGTGCCGTGCAGAGAATGAAGCCGCAAACAATAAATTAATCCACTTTAATCCACCCTGGCATGCCCAGTTCAAGAACCAGGCTGCGGGGCGGGGAGGGAGAGAGAGAATGAGGATCACCGGCTATTAAAGCCTTAGGGTCTTTAAGGAAATCCAAAGGGCTAAAGCCACTTGCTTGTTGGGGCGATTGTTCCAGTGGCCTATTTCTGGGTGTGGATTTCAGCGATCAAAATGGTTCCCCTCATGGGGGAGGAAAAAAAAATCACAACAAACCTACCCAGCTCACAGCGCCACCTTAAAGCAAACACTGTCTAGACAAGAGTAAAAAAAAAAAAAAAAAACACCCAAAGCCCCACCACAGACAACTCAGATCCTTTGTAGGGGACTGAGAATGGGAGATGAATCAAGAGGGAAAAGGTTCTTCCCTCCCCTCCAATTGGTGCTGACTCACTGCTCCTTCCCTTGATGGCTCAAGTTCTGTTTCCCTTAGGGAGTCTGCCTCTCTGCTGCCTCTTCGTCCACCTCACCCTCATTCAGTCTCCTCCCTGCTTTTACAGGCACCTCTCTCTCTGGGCTGCTTCTATCAGACCAAATCTTGTTATGCCACAATTTTGAGCCTGTGGGTATTTAGGTCCCGAGCTAAACACACAAATAAGCGTACACACAAGTGGGGTAAACTTGGCAGGTTGGGGGCCTTGGTCTGTAATACTGTCCCCTCTATCATTTTAGTCCCTGCTGGGTAAATAATTCCAAGAAATATACAATGGGGGAGAAAAAGAGCTGGGTTCATCTGAATTTCTTGCCATTAATGAGCAAAATATGATAAGAAAATGATTTTCCCCAGCTAAGGTAAGTGTCTGAAATTTGTGGGGCTGCAGCAAAGAGTAGCTTCAGCTGCTATTTGGTTGTATTATTAACAGTAATGCTAACAATACTTTGCACTACTATAGTACTTTCAATCCTACAATCTCAAAGTAATGTACAGACATTCGCAATATAGCCCCAGATACTCCGAGGTATTTAGGTACCTAACTACCATTTATTTCAAAGGGGGATAGGCACATAAATACCTTTAAAGATCTGGGCCTTAATCCTCACCCCTATGTAAATTTACATGACTGGTTTAAACAGATGTGTGTTTATAAATCCAACAGCTGTCCCTTTATCTATAGTGACTGCCCTGTTTCTACTTTTATATAAAGCACAGTTTAAAAGGGGGCGAGAAAAGAGTTTCCTCTTTGCTATGAATGAAATAGGAGGTTTTTCACCCTCTCTCATACTGCAATCAAGATAATTGCAAACAAGCCACAGGTCTCCACTACCTGGCTCTGATATGTGTATCTCTTTTATTATGGCTTTTAAAAATAACAGCTAGAGACATATTGCCTGGCCCATTACAGCCAGATAAAAGCAGTGCTATAGTTAAGGCTGAGCTAAGTTTTGCACTTGAAGCAGGGATTGTAAAGACAAGAGCCCCAGGGCAGACAGTACCTTTTAATTTGAAATTAGATGGGAAATACATCAGAAAGACAACAGACCATGGAAGGTGAGGTCGTCTGGGAAGAGTATTCATGGGGAGAGCAGGAGGTAAATCCTGATATTTGGATATACTCTGCACAAGCACAGCACTTTATACCCAACTCCCACCACATTTTATAGAGGTGACTGTGTTACTCCTGTTTTATAGATGTAGAAACAGGGGCACAGAGACAGAAGTTGATGTGTGTGAGATCACACAGTAAACATAGTGGCAGAGCAAGAACCAGAACCCAAAGCCCCTGCTACCCAATCTCCCACTCTAATCTCTAGTGAGCTTTGCTTTCTGCAAAGGTACGATAGTAGGTACTAGATAATATTAGTTCTGATGGTACCACCAATGATCACAAGTCAAGAAAATGCTACTTAATATCTCAGAGCAAACAGTAAAGTCACAAGGTTTTCTGGGAAAAAAAATCCTGCTGTTTGAACTTCTAGGATGCTTTTTAAAAAATACTTATAGGTAGACAAATAATTCTATTTATCTGAGCCCTGCTACAATCAAGTACTACAACATAAAACCAATACTGGTCTGAGATCTGCTATTCTTGGAGATCCCACATGCATGTGCACACACATAAAATCATAGAAGTAAGTGGAGGAATGGAAGGGACCTTGAGAGGTCATCTATTCCAGTCCTCTGCACTCATGGCAGGACTAAATAATGGCTCGGCCATCCCTGACTTGTGTTTGTCTAACCTGCTCTTAAAAACTTCCAGTGACAGAGATTCTACAACCTCCTTAGGCAATTCATTCCAGTGCTTAACTACCCTGACAGTTAGGAAGTTTTTCCAAATGTCCTACCTAAACCACCCTTGCTACAATTTAAGTCCATTGCTTCTTGTCTTATCCTCAGAACAAATTTTCATTCTCCTCCTTGTAAAAACTTTTTATGTGCTTGAAAACTGTTGTGTGCCCCCTCAGTCTTCTCTTGTCCAGACTAAACATACTAATTTTTTTAAAATCTTCCTCAGAGGTCATGTTTTCTAGACCTTTAATCATTTTTATTGCTCTTCTCTGGACTTTCTCCAATTTGTTCACATCTTTCCTGAAATGTGGTGCCCAGAACTGGAGACAATACTCCAGTTGAGGCCTAATCAGCGTGGAGTAGAGTGGAAGAATATCTTCTCGTATCTTCCTTACAACACTCCTGCTAATACATCGCAGAAGGATGTTCGCTTTTTTTGCAACAGTGTTACACGGTTGACTCATATTTAGCTTGTGATCCATTATGACCCCCAGATCCCTTTCCACAGTACTCCTTCCTAGGCAGTCATTTCCCATTTTGTACGTGTGCAACTGATTGTTCCTTCCTAAGTGGAGTACTTTACATTTGTCCTGATTGAATTTTGTCCTATTTACTTCAGACCATTTCTTTAGTTTGTCCAGACCATTTTTAATTTTAATCCTATCCTCCAAAGAACTTCCAACCCCTCCCAGTTCGGTATTGTCCACAAACTTCGGAAGTGTACTCTCTATGCCATTATCTAAATCATTGATGAAGACACTGAACAGAACCAGACCCAGAACCGATCCCTGCAGGACCCCACTTGATATTCCCTTCCAGCTCGACTGTAAACCACTGGCACCAACCCTCTGGGAACCGTTTTCCAACCAGTTATGCACCCACCTTATAATAGCTCCATCTGGGCTGTATTTCCCTAGATTGTTTATGAGAAGGTCATGCAAGACAGAATCAAAAGCCTTACTAAAGTCAAGATATACCACATCTACTGCTTCCCCGCATCCACAAGGCTTATTACCCTGTCAGAGAAAGCTATTGGGTCGGTTTGACGCAATTTGTTCTTGACAAATCCATGTTGACTGTTACTTATCACTTTATTCTCTTGTAGGTGTTTGTAAAATGATTGCTTGATTATTGGCTCCATTATCTTTCCAGGTACTGAAGTTAAGATGACTGGTCTGTAATTGCACTGGGTTGTCCTTATTTCCCTTTTTATAGCTTGACACTATATTTGCCCTTTTCCAGTCTTCTGGAATCTCTCCCATCTTCCATGACTTTTCAAAGATAATCACTAATGGCTCGGATATCTCCTCAGCCAGCTCCTTGAGTGTTCTAGGATGTATTTCATCAGGCCCTGGTGACTTGAAGACATCTAACTTCTCTAAGTAATTTTTAACTTGTTCTTTCCCTATTTTAGCCTCTGATCTTACCTCATTTTCACTTGCATTCACTATGTTAGACATCCAAGCACTACTAACCTTTCTGGTGAAAACTGAAACAAAAAAGTCATTTCACATTTCTGCCATTTCCACCTTTTCTGTTATTGTTTCCCCCCCGCATTGAGTAACAGGCCCACCCTGTCCTTGGTCTTCCTCTTTCTTCTAATGCATTTATAAAATGTTGTCTTGTTACCCTTCATGTCTCTAACTACTTTAATCTCATTTTGTAGCCTGGCCTGTCTAATTTTCTCCTAGCATGCTTGTGTTGTTTGTTTATATTAATCCTTTGCAATTTGACCTAGTTTCCACATTATGTAGGACTCTTTTTTGATTTACAGATTATTGAAGATCTCCTGGTTAAGCCAGCGTGGTCCCTTGCCATACTTCCTATCTTTCCTACACAGTGGGATAGTTTGCTCTTGTGCCCTTAATAATGTCTCTTTGAAAAACTGCCAACTGTCTCAAACTGTTTTTCCCCTTAGACTTGCTTCCCACGGGATCTTACCTACCAACTCCCTGAGTTTGCTAACATCTGCCTTCTTGAAATCTACTGTCTTTATTCTGCTGTTTTCCCTCCCAACATTCCTTAGAATCATGAACTCTATCATTTCATCCGATGAAGTGAGCTGTAACTCACGAAAGCTTATGCTCATATAAATTGGTTAATCTCTAAGGTGCCACAAGTACTCCTTTTCTTTTTGCGAATACAGATTAACACGGCTGCTACTCTGAAACATCTCATGATCACTTTCACCCAAGCTGCCTTCCACTTTCAAATTCTCAACCAGTTCCTCCCTATTTGTCAAAATCAGATCTAGAACAGCCTCTCCCCTGGTAGCTGTCTCCACCTTCTGAAATAAAAAATTGTCTCCAATGCGCATTCCAAGAACTTGTTGGATAATCTGGGCCCTGTTGTATTTTCCCAGCAGATGTCTGGGTAGTTGAAGTCGGCCATCACCACCAAGCCCTGTGCTTTGGGTGATTTTGTTAGATGTTTTAAAAAAAGCCTGATCCTAGTAAGGCAGGTCTGTGGTAAACCCCTACCAT